CCGCTGCTAAAGAAATTGTAGATTCTCCAGTTTTTTTGAACCAACGTGGTATTTAATTGGAGAAAAAGAGTTTTGACATGATTATGATGTTGTTATTTTCTGATCAACGTTGTTAATAACAATATCATAATTTTAATGATTTATGCATTAATTCTACTTGTGCCCAACGGTGATGTAGAATTAGTGTATAAGAACAGTTGTAAATTTTAATGATTTATGCATTAATTCTATTTTTGCCCAACGGTGATATAGAATTAGTGTGTAAGAAAGTTGTGAAAGTTAAAGATTTATGCATTAATTCTATTTCTGCCCAACGGTGATGTAGAATTAGTGTATAAGAATAGTTGTATGTTTTGATTTTTGACCAACGTTGAAATCAAGACATGCAAATGGTGTTACTTTTATGTTAAGAAAAAATTTGACCTGGTTTTCATCTTGGCTGAGGTGGACTGGGTAGTCACCTCACTGTGTTCGACTGATTCTGTGGCACCGGTGAGGGAGACAAAAGAGAATGATGCCGATTAGGCAACTAAAGAAAGAGATTTTGAATCCCAAAGGATGTCCTATGACTTTGAGCATAGGAAGTGGGTCACTGTCAACAAGAAATATTTAGCTGTGATAAAGAACCGATTAAGCCTACAATTGTGGACTCAATCCCAGAGTGTGACACGGTCACCGAGTACCTCGATAGAATAAAGAGTCAGTTCACTGGCTCATCAAAGATATATGCTACCCAGCTGATAAAGCAGCTGATGACAGAGAGATACTCTAAAAATAATGGCATAAGAGAGCTCAAGATGCGTCGTCGAAATTATGGCACTGTCGTTCAGGCCATATTTCGAGGAGGAGAATAGAAAGACTACTTAATAATGATATTCTTCCTCCATTAGAGCTCTCAGATTTAGAGATTTAGAACAATGCAGAGAATGCATAAAAGGAAAGTATGTAAAGAAAGATGACAAACGAAACGTAGGAATTTTATAGATTATTCACACAGACATCTGTGGTCATTTTCCTGTAAAGAGTATGTATGGTTATGATTCGTTCATAACATTCACAAATGATTACTCCTATTATGGCTATATTTATCCAATCAAAAAAAGAACAGAAGCATTGAATAAATTTAAGATATTAAAGATTAAGATAGTCAGGTCTGACCGTGGGGGAGTATTACTATCGGCATACCCTAAAAGAATGGCATAGTAGCCCAGTATTCTACACCGGACGAACATCAGCAGAATAGAGTAGCTAAAAGAATCAATCGTACCCTAATGGATATGGTGGGCAGTATGATAAGTTACTCCACCTTACAGTTGAGCCTGTGGATGGAGGCGTTAAAACCGCCATTCATATTCTCAATAGAGTATCAAGAAAGTCGGTGTCCAAAACACCGTATGAGTCGTGGACAGAAAGAGTACCCTCACTAAACCACTTGCGTGTGTGTGGGGGAGCCCTGCTGAGGCTAAAGTATTTTAACCCAAACATTGAAAAGTTAGATCCCAAAATAGTAAGTTGCCATTTGTTTGGCTACCCAGAAAAGTCAAAAGGTTTTTGTTTTCTACTATCCAGAGAGACATATAAAGTTTGTGGAAACTAGACACGCTGTCTTCCTAGAGGATGAATTGATGAGGGGGAGCATGGTAGCTCAAGAAATTGACCTTGAAGTGAAACGGTTGTATGCATCCACTCCAATGATTCATGAGCCATTTTTCTCACTACCTGCTGTCGCTGCACCGACAGTGCAAGACACTATGGTGCCAGCACCTATTGTTATCCCACTTGTGGCAACAATGAATGACGATGAGGAACCTGTTCTTCAGGATCCTATAGAACCTATTGCCACACATGAGGGGGAGCAACAACAGCCTCAAACAGAACATGCGTCAAATGTGAAGGCCCCTAGAAGGTCTCAAAGAGTTAGAAAATCAGTTATTTCTGCTGATTATGAAGTGTACAACACTGAGAAATTTCAAATAGAGGATGGTCCCACCTCATTTTAGTGGAAACGAGACACGCTATCTTCCTAGAGGATGAATTGATGAGGGGGAGCATGGTAGCTCGAGAAATTGATCTTGAAGTGAAGCAGGTGTATGCGCCCACTCCAATGATTCATGAGCCATTTTTCTCACTACCTGCTGTCGCTGCACCGACAGTGCAAGACACTATGGTGCCAGCACTTGTTGTTTTCCCACCTGTGGCAACAATGAATGACGATAAGGAACCTGTTCTTCAGGATTCTATAGAACCTATTGCCACACATGAGGGGGAGCAACAACAGCCTCAAACAGAACATGTGTCAAATGTGAAGGCCCCTAGAAGATCTCAAAGAGTTAAAAATCAGTTATTTCTGCTGATTATGAAGTGTACAACACTGAGGAATTTCAAATAGAGGATGATCCCACCTCATTTGAAGAAGCCACGAAAAGTGATCATTCATCAAAGTGGCTTGAGGCCATGGAAGATGAAATGAAATCTATGAATGCCAATAAAGTTTGAGATTTGGAGATAATTTCTAAAGGAGCCAAAACAGTAGGCTATAAATGGGTCTACAAAACAAAAATTGACTCTTAAGGGAATATAGAGAGATATAAAGCGAGACTTATGGTAAAAGGCTTTACGCAAAGAGAAGGAATTGATTATAATGAGACCTTTTCTCCAGTCTCATATAAGGATTCCTTCATAATCATAATGGCATTAATGGCATTAATGGTACATTACGATTTAGTGTTACATCAGATGGATGTAAAGACGGCATTCCTCAATGAGGACTTGGAGGAAAATATTTACATGGCACAACCGAAAGGTTTTGTCATGGAAGGAAAAGAACGAATGAGATGTCGTCTAAATAAATTCATTTATGGATTAAAACAAACTTCAAGACAGTGGTATTTGAAGTTTGATCAGACAATAAAGAATTTTGGGTTTAAAGAAAATGTAGAGGACAATGTGTCTATACAAAGTTTAAGAATGGGAAATTTATCTTCCTTGTCCTATATGTGGATGATATCTTACTTGCTAGTAGTGATGTCAGTCTACTACTGGAGACAAAGAAGTTTTGTCCTCAAAATTTGATATGAAAGATCTTGGTGAACCTTCGTTCGTTCTAGGGATCGAGATTCACCGAGATAGAAGTAAAGGGGTATTAGGACTGTCACAAAAAGCATACATGAAAAAGATCTTAAAGAAATTATGTATGAACAAATATAGTCCCTCACCTGCTCCTATAGTCAAGGGCGACAGATATGGGAATTTTAAATGCCCCAGGAACCAATATGAGATCGATCAAATGAAAAACGGTTCCATGGGCTTCAGTTGTCGGAAGCTTGCAATATGCTCAAGTATGTATGCGCCCTGACTTGGCATTTGTTACCGGGTTACTTGGCAGATTCCAGAGCAATTTTGTTACATAACATTAAAATTAGTAAAGAAAGTCTTGCGTTATTTATAAGGAATAAAAGGCCTCATGATGACATATAGAAGATCTGATTTACTCCACATAATGGGATATTCAGGATTCTGATTATGCGAGGATATGTATTCACTCTCGCAAAGGGGGAGCTATTTCATGGAAAAGCTCAAAGCAAACCGTCACTACATCGTCCACAATATGTGACAGTTTGTACCGTGTTATGAGGCAACAGGCAGGTGAACTGACTAAAGAAGTTCATACACGGTTTGAAGGTGGTCGACGACATCTATAGACCACTTAAGTTATAATGCGATAATAATCCGGCAATACAGTATGCTCACAACATAAGTCAAGTGGTGCTGCCAAACACATTGACATAGAGTATTATGTTGTGAAAGATAAAGTCCGGGATCAAGTCATAAGTCTTGAGCATATAAGTACAGAAAAGATGCTCGCGGATCCGCTTACAAAAGGCTTATCACCCAACGTGTTCAGAGAACATGGTGTTTAGAGAACATGTAGCTAGCATGGGTTTAAGGGAAAGCCTAAAATTTCTGGACAAAAGAAGACCCAAAGATAAGTATCTATTTCAAAATAGAGTAGTGTGTTGTACCTGTTAAGTCTATCGGCAATGGACCGTGACGATGAGACATGCTCTATGCGCTAATCTGTAATAGAACGAACAAAAGTAAATGAAATTGAAAGATGGTAGTGAGATCAAGGGGGAGAATGTTAGTTGATCGGCCTATTGGGCCCTTGTCTCTGCTCTCTGATCAGGGGAGCCCAACCCTAATACGGTTGGTGAGCCCATGTCGCACAGCACATATAAAAGGTAAGGTGGGGATCATGGCTCGGGCTGCGAGGTTCAACGGAGCCACCGTACCCACCTACAGAGAAAACCTAAACCGATCTAAAGCAGTGCTGCCAGCGACGGGAAGCTCCACCACACCACTGCCTCGCCTCTGTAGCCCACGGGATAACCACTAGACCTCGCCACCGAGCCGAAGCTGCCTCGACACCGGCGTCCGCGAGGTTGCAGCGCAACCAGGGCGAAATAGATGAACCCTAAAAAGGTATACTCCGATCTACTGTTACACAAAAGTACACCCACGAAACTAACAATACATTCCGGACCTGTGTGTTGTGTTTATTAGTCAGATTAACGTACATGAGCAAGTATGATGATCAATACAAAATCTGTATTTTGGATAAAAAATATTTTCTTAATTTTGGTCTTTGTATATGACTTCGTACCCATGCGAAAAGTCTCCAATATACTTCAATCTGTTTCCGTTCGCTCATCCGGCATGGGAGGCTGCTGCTGACCTGACCTACGCGCCCCGTCGCTCCCTCGCTTCGCATGCCAAGGCGGCGGCCTGCGGCCGGCGAGCGAATGCAACCAGAACTGGAGAAGGTATCTGCGTATAGGTAGTCGAGGTCTGGAGAAGGTATCTGCGTATAGGTAGTCGAGGTCTTCGGCAGGGATCAACGAGCGCACGCCGTGGTCGTGCACTCGTGCAGTGCTGCTCTGCCTCCTCTCTTTGGTGGTCGCCGTCGTGGCGGATAACCTTCTCGCCGCGGTGGGCGGAGGCTAGAATAGCGGCCTCTCGACGCCTCCCCAAGCGCCACCCCGATCTCCCCTAGGCATGTGCTCAATGCCACCGTCCACAACGGCGACCCGGAACGAGAGGTTCGGGGTCGACGGTGCCTGCATGTGCAGGCACTCGAACGCGAGCACGGCAGCACGCAGCCGTGCAGTATAGGAGGGCGCGTGTCGTCCTGAGGGGCGGGACCGGCTTGCCGCGGAGCTACCGCGGTACTTGTGGTCGACCTTCTGGTGAGTAGTGGTGACCACGCCGACGCCGAGTGCTGCGGACGCATCCCCCTCGCCTGCTCGGTCTGGGAAGCGAGTAAGCAACTGCTTCTTGCGAAAGTTGGCGCGCGCTTGGCGGACCCGGAGTCCCATGAGTCTATAGCGAGAGTACGTATAGCTGCTGGCCGCAGATGTACGCGAATAGTTCTCCTGTTCATGTTTACATGCTGGTGCCATTCTAAGCAAAGTTTGGCTAAATTTTACTTGCGAGGTTACTCATGCTTTCATGTCATATTCATGCGAAATTCCTGCCTGCAAATTATAGTGATTTACCTTAAATTACCATCACTGATTAAGGCAGCATACATACAAGAACTTAATTATATTGAGAGCACACTGACACGAATCTGGGAAGGAGAAACAGAGGGTACGCATTTGGGTTTCCATTCTTCGTACCAGTCCAATGCTCCCTTGTAGGCTTGCACGCATCACCAAAGATCAATTGAAATTATTCATGACTTAAATTCCATGATTCGAGGAAATTAAATGGAATGGGCCCGTTGACAGATTTTAGGAACCAAACTATTTACATTTCCATCCTTTTTTCCCCCCACATATCATCACATTGGGGGAATATAGTTCTAGCTATCACAATAAAGTACTTCCCGCACCTCAATTTCCGCGGTATTACCTCACTAGGACTCAAATAAACTTATCAGTGAAAGAATAACTAGGCACTACTAAAGCGCCAGCAATCATGCTAAGACTAATGAAGCTAAGATTAAACTTTCGCCATCATCCGAACATGACACTGCCGAGATGATGGTGATTTACCTTCCCTGGACTTGTGGTCTTCGGCCCTGAGGCAGAGAGCTGAAATTCTGGGAATGCTCCAGCATCTGAACCATGGATGGCGTTTGATATGAGTGAACAAGAGTGGTGCTATCTGTAGAGTCTCCGCGCGCTGTTGCTCTCTGCCATGAATGAGAGCTCAATCCAGACAGCATATATGCCCTCCCTGAAGCCTCATAAAGTTGGCGGTTCGCCATCCTCTCCTGAATCTCTCTTAGCTCTGCGTCAAGGGCCATGCATAGACGGTCCCCATTCTGGCTTGCAACAGACTGTGACAGTGCCCTCCGGCAGTCCTCAAGAATAGTGACGGCCTCAGAGAGAGCACCCCTCTCGGCAGCAGCCCGTGCAGACTCGATAGAATTGGCAGCTCGTATACGGTTCCTCTCTCGGTCAACTTCAATAGAAACCGGTACAGATACAGTAGATGTTGGCCTGTTGATCTTTACCTCGTCACCTTGAATCTTGATAGTCTCATTGGTCACAGGATCTTTGTAAGCACAAGCAACTCTTAACAGTGAAGTCTGTTCACAAGATTTTGGAATGGTCACTGACAGCAAAATGTCTTTCTCCTCATCAGCATATAAGTGAGCAATATCAACAGATCCATTTCGTCCATCTCTTGCTACCTTACTTGGATAGCTGCCACATTTGATGGAACAAAGTTGAACACCAGGATCAACGCACTCCATACTGAGACGCATCTCCTGAACAGCAACACTAAGAAGCCCACCAATACATTGAGCAAACGCATCTTGCATCACACCTTCATCCTCAATAAAAGAAAAGGTGCCACCAGAAGCTTCAGAAATCGAATGCAGTGTATCTGAATCATGGTCTGCTCCAAATCCAAAAGTGTGCAGGGGTACCATATGGAGATCATTTAGAATAGAAGATGGAACAAGTGACCTACGACCTGCTGATGTGCCTTGGAAATTTGAGGAAATGTTGTAGGTATCTTGACCATCTGACAGAAGAATGATACTGCATACAGAATTCTTATAGTTGCGGTCCTCAATTACCTTCACAGCTTTCTTTAGTGCATCAGCAATGTTCGTACCACCACCACTGCCAAGTGAGCTTATTGCCTGCAAGGCCTGCTGCCTACCATGATGTGACATCCGTTGGAGGGGGAACAGTCTTCGAGCAGTAGATGAAAAGGCAATGACTGAAAGGCGATCAGATGGCCGAAGGTGCTGAATAACAAAACCCATTGCTTGCTTCAGGAGTGCCAATTTTGTGCCTGCCATACTGCCACTAACATCGAGGACAGTAACAAGATCGATAGGAACTCGTCTTGACGACCTCATAGAGCTTTCATTGACCAAACTGCCTGTGATGTCATCTGAGCTAGAAGTGGGGGCGTTCACATGGATCAGAATATCAAATCCATCTAGACATGATGCCTGTGAAACAGCTTGGAATTCTGGGTATGAGCTGATCTCAGCAGTTTTACTAGATCCAGAATTAAGATTGTCAAAAGCCTCTATGCGCTGCAAAGGTTCATCATCATTGTAGTCTGCTGGCTCAGAAGTATGTAACCGACGGACCTCTCGCCGCCGGTTTGAAACTTGCCGGTGAAGAGCCAAATGGGGATCTAGTTGGGGTGATCGAATATGGTCACCTCCAACTCTTCCATGAGGACTAGTAGAAGATAGTGAGCGACAGGGTATCTCTTTCCATTTCGCTCGACAAACTGGGCAGACATAGTTTCCATGTTTTACATTAGACGAGATACACTGAAAATGGAACATGTGAGAACACTCTGCAGTGAAAAGGGCTTGTCCATGGCCAGATCTCATGCTAGCAAAGCATATTGCACATTTCCCCTGCTGAAGGACAAACCAAAGAAAAAAATAAGCTTAATTGCTTTTAATTATACAAAAAGAACTACTACTACTTTGAATAGCATGTATTGACACGTTACATGAACGGATACTTTTAAATTATACTACCTAATTCTCTGCCTGACCTGGTTACAACATAGAGCTAGGCCAGTACAGATCTTTACTACACTGCATAAGCCTCTAATAAAATTTTATTCATCCAACCTCAACTCCGAAATAACACGTGTACCTTAAACCTTCATTTATGTGGCCCTAAATGTCATTTTTGGAGTTCACGTTTAGATAGCATGTGTACCATTGCCCCAATATAAATTATTTGCTGAATAACAAATATGTACATACATTTTTTACTAATACCTTTGGTATTACACTAGTCCAAGCACCATAGCAGCTCTAATAGTCAAATATCATCTTATTCGTTCAAGATAAGCAGATAGCAAACAATCAACATCACGATGTGGCAATGGCAGGGCAGCAGAACATTGAAACTAGCACTTCCTTTTGGCATGTGTCCACCGAAATCAATTGAGGATTTGAGGTAATGCATCAGTCATTGTCTATTGGTCAGTACAAAAAGTAAGGATGAGCTATTATACCCAGAAACCTTGAATTGAGATAAATTGATATTCCCATACCAAGCACACCCTTTGACCAGTAGTTAAACACTTGCCATCAACATCAAGCCAGCAAAGGAGCACAAATAACCATACACGTGTTGTAATACTGATTTTATTTTATGGATACTGTACTCGTCAAGTTATCATCACAACATGTTTGAACACAATAAATCCTGATTTTATTTGTTGAATTTGGTCAGAGCTACTTAGTCCTGTGAAGTAAAGTCAATTAGAAGGTTTATCCTTCAAAAATTCAACTTAATACCTAATACTTCCTCTTTACTGTTTTTACTCTTTTGTACCAAGTTGGTGCATGCATGGAACCCATGAATGTAAAGGTAGTGAGGCAATCCATGTGAAGTTACTTGTCAAATTGGTACCATTGAGACAAAAAGGCCACATAAAAATAGAAAGTAGCAGTCAGCAATCAGTTGGGCAATTTGCATCCACTATAATGGATAGCAGCTGTCAAGTTGGAACATCTGCCGTAAAGAAAGAAAGCTGGTGGTAGGAGGAAAGAGTGGGGTTTGCTACACGTGACCACCACGGGCTGGTGATGAGCGACAAGCAAGCTTTTTCCTTTCCTTATCAAGAAGGAGAGCAAGTGAAGTACAGATACGATGGATGGGATAGAGAAGCGGCTTGCATTAAGCAGTTATCTAAGGAAAGCCATTGACTAAAAAAGTGATGCCAGAGGATACCGAGCAGACCACAGCTGGCGTAATATCTCCTATGAATCTCTCGACATGAATGACATTATTGAGCGATGAAGCATTGACTAACGGAGACATTACAGAACGAACAACAGCTGGCACGCAAGGTCCTGTGAATCTCTAGGATTGAACTTATGTTAAGAAAATACAGGAATTCAAAATTTTCTTCTTCGTTTTGGACAGTAATTGGGTGATTGTCTTTCTGACGGGAGAGAATAAAATGGGGGGCAAAACAGTAATGCAAAATGATGTAGTATAATTGATAATCTTATTAGAAATTTAGAAGCGCACAAGCACAACCAGCGAGCGTAAATTCTACTCATGCCGTGCCGAAGAAGTGCACAAAGTCTCCAAGCAAAAATCTAAAACAGCTAGTGAAACACAATTTTCGCGCTGAGAATGCATCCTATCCGTGCTAACACCCAACACGGAGATCGCCAATAAAAACACCCAACACGGAGGGTGCGTCATACTACCCATAGCATGCGCATTTGAATTCCCAAATAACTAAACGCAGGGCAGAAATTACCACCACGCCCAAATCCCCGATCAAACCAAGCATTGAAACCGGGGGCGTTTTTCTTTTATCGATTGATGAAACCCCCAATCCCAATCCCGACAACCTCAAAAACGCTCATATCTCGATCTCACCTTGGAGGAGTGCGTGGAGGAGGACCTGCCCCCGGATTTGGACTGGCGGTGAGCACCCACCGGCGTGCTCGGCCCCGACGACTCGCCCGCCGCCGGCGCCACCACCGCCACCGCGGCATCCTGCCGACAACCGCCCGCGCCCGACGGCGCCCGCGGGACGTTTCCACCTCCCGCCGCGGACGCGTGCACGCCGAGGCGGAGGCCCAGCACCTTCCTGACCTTCCTCCACGCGCCCTCCATCGCTGCAAAGCACAAACCACCAACCCGTCTCCTCCCACTCCCAGCCAACCGGCTCGCAGACTTCGTGGGGCTCTTACACCGCCACCCCGCCTACGGGTTATACTACGATGACTGCCGATAGGAGTGCGGGGAGGGAGAGGGAGCGGCGGCGGGTTTTGGAGGGGAGCAGAGCCGACATGGGAGGTAGTGGAGCTGTGGAGGTGGAGCGTTTCGGGTGCGGGTGCGGCCTGCGCTGCGGCTCGTGTTTTGGTTTGACTCGTCCCTCTCGTGGCCGCGGGAGGGAGGAAGCGTACAAGGAGTAGTAACGGAACCAGCTGGGCGTTTGAATTATGAGACGTGTTGTTAGCGTGAAGAAGGGTGGGTTGGTAGGTTGGCGGTGATGGGCCCGCCTAGCTGGAAACCATGGGCCTCTTTTAGCCATCCTGGCTGGGCCGGTGAATTTTTTTCCCCTCCCCGGCCTAACAACCCTTCGCTTCAATCAGAATCCAAATCTTGGATATATTTTCAAACTTGAGTGTACAGTTAGTAAAACAGCCAGCGTGATATATATAACCTACAGGCATGGTTGCTTGTGCTCTGATGGCCAAATGGCGATTTTCTTGCCAGGTTTGTACGACCGAGGAAATAGAAAACTAAGCAGGCCAGTGCATTGTACAGTCGTGGAAGCAACAGCAGGATACATGTACGTGTATCTCTGGTCAGAATATGCCGAAAACTTAGTCCCGTTGCTGATGATATACGCCGAATAGATAAGCGCGGCAGGTCGGCACTCGCGATCTCTTGTAATCTGATACTCCTCACAAGAATAGTATCGAGACTTGAGACTGACAGACACAGGCTGGCTGCTCCCCTGCTCGTCAGTTGTCACCCTGCCAACGCTCGAAAGGAAAATGGGAAGAGAACAGGCCAGGCCAACCTGGCAGAACGCCGAAGTAGAGTGGATGAGATTTATGTTTCCTGTCGTCGCGCCGGTGGTTGGGATGCCCTGCGCTGCGCACCTGCAAGTTGCCTCGTCGCCGATATTATACGGGTACATCAGTACGTGCAGGTGAGCGGAGCGTATCCATCGGTGGTCGGTGCAACCGCCGCAAAAAATACTCCTACCCAAGAGCCGTTGGGCTGTCTTCTTCAGGCTTGCTCAGCCAGCACAGCACAGGTGAGGTGACCTGATCGCCTGATCCTGAGCGCGACGAGCAAAGGTCCCGTTCGTTTAGTTAAAAAGTCAGGCTAAAAAATACCGTTGGCTGGCCCGTTCGGCTTGCTGAATTTTGGCTGAAACTGGCTGAAAAACACTTTTCTGGCTGAATTGTTGTGAGAGAAAAACACTATTTTGGCTGAAAAAAGAAGCCGAACAAGCCAACTTCTGGGTAAGCCGAATGGGGTCGTTGTGAGAGGAAAACACTGTACCATAGCTAATGAGTTTTTGAAGAAGAAGAGTAGCACTATAGCACGTACGACAAGGGCAGAAGAGAAGCAGAACAGTGGCTGACTGCGCCCAGGATGTCGTGGGCCTTGGGCCGTTAGTTTAGAATCCGGCCTGCGTGCCAAAGTGTGGCGAACAGGCCTGTAAGCGATTCCTTTAAAGGTCGCACGGTGAGAACGGGAAAGGCATCGAATCCTCTGAACCTGTATTCTGTTGCCATTTAGTTTCTGTCGCTACATTCTGTTATCAATACAGTACCGGTTCCTCGCTATTGTTCTTCATCTTTAGTTCTTGTTCTTGTTCTTAGTTCTTGCAATTCCTTAGGTTTCCATTCAGCTCACTATTAGGCTTGATCCGTAGCCTAACAAGTGGTATCAGAGACCCGCCTTTCTTGGCCGAATTTTTGTTTCCTTGCCTTGATCGTGGTGATAACCCCCGATGGCAGGTGATCGCAGTTCGTCACTTCGGTGTCGTTATTGTGAACCCAGAGGTCTGCGTGCCGAGGCTCACTGGGTCAGCAAGGAGCAGAGTTCGTTGCGCAGAGGGATCCTCTCGAGGCTGGCGCCGAAGAGGAAGCCAACCAAGTTTCAGCAAGAGATGGCGAAGTCCGTAGATGATCTCTCAGCACAGTTCGAGACCATGACGAAGCAGTTCGCCGGATTCCAGACCATGATGCGTGAGACTCTGGACAAGTTGGACGGATTGCAGTCGTGGAAGTCTACCGCTGACGAGTCGCTCGGCAATTTGCTTCAGAAGACGGACGCGATGGGGAACCGCGTCAATCAGGCGTCTGCAAGGTTGCAGGTCCTGGATGTCACAGAACCGACCAATTTATAAGAGTACAAGTACAATGGCGTCCCACAAGCGGTCGCACTGTCATACTTGAACCCATATAAACCCGGTAGTCCGTCGAGTACCACGACGGGTATCGATAAACGATTTACAACAACCAAGATCGTACATGATTCAACATACATGCCACATATTATATAAAGTTCACAGATACATTTTCATCATCAGAGTACGAATAAAAGTTATTACAAACCGAGTTTGATAGATAAAAGCGGAAGCAAATTAAATTTGAAAGTAAAGTTTACAACATAGTTTAGTACAGTGCCAAGATACGATCACGGTCCACAAAAGCATGTAGAAGGATTAATAAGAAGCCTGCCCAAGGCTTACTCTTCATCCACAGCGGGATAGAAACAACTCTTACAATAACCATGATACACAGTGTCATCTGCAACATGGGAAATAAAACCCTGAGTACGAGAAGGTACTCAGCTAGACTTACCCGTTATAAACCAGAAATAAAATGACTCCAAGGATTATGCAAGGCTGTATAAGTGGAGATAGCTTGACAACATTTTGCATAAAAGCAATTGACTTATTGTACAATTAGGATTCCTTTATCAATTATTTATAACTATCCATCTCTATATTAGCAACTATCCTGTGCCAAACATGTGGTATATCCATTTAAAAGCATACAATAGTAACCATAGCAGGTATTGTAATCCCATATTCATTCGAACCATCATGTTCCATAACACAGTTACTACGATGTTGGGACTAGCCAAGTTTCTCACTATCTGGGAGAGACGACGATTCGAATCGATTTCAACCAGCTGGAAATTTATTCCTAACACAAACCCAGGTCTACCAGCCACGATAGCCTTAGGTCACCTTTGGTACAACTCAAGTACACATTTCGCGGGTCCGTACCGCGTCGCACAATCTGGAACACCAGATGCCAGGACGTTCAGGCCTAGCCTGCCCTTGGGCTCAGTCTGATCGTTCCCCGGAAGGAGCGCACAACAGAACAGGTCCCGGCCTGAGTTGAATTACTCAGCTTCGCGGTCGGAACGAGTTATCCGGCCAGCTAAGTGAGAGGCATGCGTTCAATCTTGTCAGAAGCGCCAACAACGGTACGGTCCTTAATCGACACAGACGGGGATAGATCCACACCCAAGACCTCCATGTCTTGTTGCTTCTCTATCGACATCCCGCCCGGTCTCCATTTACATTAACCATGGTTCTTTTCCACGATAGCAATCATAACCAACCGTGCTCCGGTATCCACCTATATCTCGCAGGTGACAGGAAATCACCCGACTTCTACCGGTCTAAGCATAGCTAAGCATATATTCGATCCTGGACCTATACCGGTTAAAGGTGTAATAGCTAGACAAGGAATGTATATGCATCAAGTGGTTCCATTCAACTCTTATAACCTAATGCATTAATCATAAGTACTTAAGTAATCATTTGTAAAATACTGGGAGACTTAGAATGCTCCGGGGCTTACCTCACAGAAAGGAAGTAGGGCGGTGATCAGTACACTCCGGAAGCTCTTCAGGATTCTGCTCCACGCCTTCGGGAGCTGCGGCTTGTGGATTCTCCTGCTGGTCCCCTTCCTCTGCTTCTTCGAATTCCAGCAACGTTATTTCTTCCTCCGATCCTAGATGCATGAATATGACATAAGTATTACGAATGCATATATGTTATCAAGTGCATCATGTTTATTGAGTAGGTGCATATCTCTTCTCGATTATTTAATTACTACTTCCACGATGCATCTACTATATCACAAAACAGCAGCTACTTGTTTTACTCATAACAGGAGTTCTACTAATCCAAATGCAGTGATCCTGGACTTTCTGGAAAGCTTATCAAATTATCTACAACTTTGTTATTAACCATTTTTACAGCAAACATCATCTCTATCATGCAACTTAGCAAACTCCAGAATCTATCCGGAAACTATTCCAATTCATATTATAAAGTAACAATACTTCTACTTCATATAAGTATTCAAATCTTTACGACCAAAAGTCTACCAACAGTTTAAGCATACCAAATACATCCAAGAAAACATAATAGTGAAGCCCAAACTATTTGTTTAAATGCCTTTATTATTTTATTTAGATATTTAGGTTAAATAATAAACACACACCAGATGTGCATCATAAATTCTCAGAAAATTACAGTGGCTTACTAGTGCTACCAATAGACTACTGTAAAAATTTCATGCCATTTTTCCAAGTAAAACATCCTATACAAAAATGACAAGGCATCAAGGCTTGAAATAGCATAAATAGAAAACCCTAGTGAAAAGTGTCAAGCAATAGATTTCCTATTTTTCTTAGCATCCATATACTACTAGGATTACCCCCAACAAATTTCATGAATTTTAGATTCATAATTAATTTATAAAAATTTATACAAGGATTAACTATTTATAAAAGAAAAATCTATAACTATAAATATACACATGCACTGATCTTAAAATTTTTACCAGAGTTCATACATGACAAGAATAACTTACCACAAAAATTTCATAATTTTTGGAGCACAGGAACTCTAGATATAAAATAAACAAATTTGTATGCATTCAAAAGCACATTTCAAATTTCTATTTAAATCTCCAAAAATTTCTACTGCAAAAGTTAAGAACATATTTTTCCTAAATACTACACTTCCTAAGGAACACTAACAAATTTATTTCATAATTTTTGAAGCTACCAAACTGAAGATACAAAAATTACAAAAGAATTCAAAAACTGGAAGCAAATGA